AATGAGCAATGGCTTCCACAAGGTGGCAGTAGAGATACAATTGAGACAAAACACGGAGAGAGTGGAACCACTAATCAGGTTCTTAACCTTTATTGTGCTATGTCCTCTTCTCAGAATAATGTTTTCAAATGCAAAAAATAAAATACATAGTAATATGTGAGATTTCTTAAATGTATTAAACAACAATGTGTAAAAATAGGTCTAATAACTACCATAATTTTCAAGTAGTGGTAAATGTAAACATTTTGAGATAATCTGCAACTGTAATGTGATGTGAAAATATCTTTGATTACTATTGGTGACAAAATCTCAGGTACTGCTAATGCTATTGTGTTTTTTTTCTGCATTCATTATTGAAGAAAATGTCCATTTTCAGTCAGAGCTTAGTGAAGATAAAGATAAATTTCCCTCATCCAAGTTAACAGATCACATGAGTTCTATCACAGACCCTCCTATCTGGTTGTCTTAAAAAATATATTTCGGGTAAAGTTATATATAGGTATGTCACACTTTATAAAATATTTCTGAAAAGACAGGTATAAGATAAATCATTGTATTCAAATCTATTTCTCCCCTTTGTTTTCATTATAAAACTAGAAATTAAGTTCTTCTATGAAAAAAAAATGTGTGGCTCCCAAATGTAATAAAATCAATTTTAAAATGAATCAGATTTTGTAAAACATATTTAAAATTTAAAAATTCTGAAAAAGTATTTTAGTGTAATATCACAAAGTAAATATAAAAATAGTTGTCTTTTGCTTGCTTATCATTCCCAAGGTATTTTATGCAGCATTTTATATACATTATCATATTTAATACTAAAAATAATTATATGAGATTGTTAGTACTCTAATCCCTGTTTTGGAGAAGAGCCTGGGTGGTCATTCTGGGGTCAGAAAAACCAAGATTCAGTCCTACCTGTACCACTTATTAGCTGAATGACATTGGTCAAATTACTTAATCTGTCTAAATTTAAATTTCCTTTTCTATAAAACAAGAATAATATACCTCATCTACCTCATGGTGGGATTAAGAGATAATGCATACAAATAACTTAACATCTTGCTTGGCACACAGTAAGCTTGTCAGGATCACCATTGATCTACACATTACCAAATCCAGAAGTCGATTCTCAATCTCCATTTTATGCAATCCATCAGTAACTTTTAATACAGGTTAAACTCCCTCTTACTTGAAATAATCTCTTCACTTGGCCTGTGGGATATTACTTGCTCTTGGTTCTCTTACTTCACGTGCTGGCTTTCCTCCTCTGTCTTCTCTGCTACATTCTCCTAACTATAACCTCTCCTAATCTTATTAACCCAAAGGGCTCCTTCCTTGGGCTTCTTCTCTAACTCTAGACGATCTCTTATAGCCCATAGTTTCAAATGCCATATATAGGCTAGGACTCATTTATATGAGCCCAGGCCTCCTCTGAACTCTACAGACTTATATTCCTAGCTGCCTACTCAACATTTATACTCAGATGTTTAGTAAACAATTCAAATTTACCATCCCCCAAATTGACTTCATTTGCTTTCCCCCAAACCTTCTCTCACCTTTTTCCCTGTCTCAGTAAATGACAACTCCATTATTCTAGTTTGTCAAGTTTAAGAGTCTCTCTCACATGGCATAGTCAATCCATTTAGGAAATCATATCCATTCTACATTCAGAATTATCCAGAATCCAATTCCTTTTCACCATCTCCACTGCTGCCACCCTAATTAAAGCCCTCAGAATCTCGTCTGGAGTACTGTAATAATTTTCTAACTGATCTCCCTGCTTCTTCCCTTGTTCCCCTATAGCTTCTTCTCCCCATAGCCAAACATGATCTTTTTTAAAAAAATATAGCATCAGGTTACTCCTCTACTTAAAATTACCCAGTACCTTCTCATCTCACTTAAAATAACAGCCAAAACCTTTACCATAGCCATGTGTGACCTAGCCATCCACCATCTTTCTGATCATGTCTCCTAACACTCTCTCACAGCCTTGCCCTAACACTCACACCATATCTTATCTACTCTTTTCCAGCCATACTGGTTCCTCAGACATGCATAGGGTCAATTACATTTGCCATCTGCTCATGCTGGAATGCATTGCCCACAAAATCTGTAGGGAACACATCCTCACCTCCTTTAGCTATTTGCTCAAATATCACCTTCCCAGAAGGCTTTCCCTCGCTGCCCTATTTGAAACTTCAAATCACCCAAGCGTTCCATATATCCCCTCCCTGTTATATTTTTCTGTATAGCACTTACCACCATCTGATATAGATTTTATTTAATTTTATTGTTTAATCTCACCTAGCTCAAATGTTAGGTCCATGCTGGTAGATATTTTTATCTGGCTTGTTCAATGCTGTATCCCCAGTACCAAAAATAAATGTTTTAAATGACTAATTTTTTTTCATTTTAATACTTTATCAGGTGCTACACAGTTTATGCCTGACCCCAAGCTCATGGATCACGGGCAATCCCACCCAGAAGATATAGATATGTACAGCACTAGAAGCTGAAGTAGACTGCACAGACTACATAGCAACTACAAGATGTGTGAAGTTGCAAATTATGATTAAAAAATCATGTAATGAATAACTGACACATAGATTATAACTTAAATCAAGTTTTTCAAAATCAAGTTTTTGAAAACAATTTCAAAATCAAGTTTTTCTCTTATATCTTCAAATGTACAGTTTAACCAACCACATCAATGATTAAAACACACTGAATGCAATCCAAATATTAAATGATTGATGAGGAGACACAGCTAGAAATATTAGGTTGCATGTGATGACTTTTAAGGGTATTTATTAAAACAAAACAAAATAAAGAATGAACACCAATGAGATTAAAATCTGAAATACATATGTGTATGTATACATACATATTTATACATATGCATATGTGCTCTAGCTTTTCTGAATTAATATCAGTTAAATTAGAATGGTATGTATGTTAAAGGATGTGTCTCCCCATTTTTTTCATTTTCTAGAGCTGGAATAAAATACCTATATTTGATGGCACTTGGGCTTGGCTTTGTCTCTTTGTTTTATTAATGTGTTACCTCCTCTTAAATGTCTAAAACATCTCTAGCTATTTAAAAGTCCATATGCTACACAGGTCCCCTACTACTGCTTAGCAATCTTTCTACCTATTCTCAGTGTTTTACTATTTCTGTTCCCTAGACAAGGTATTACAAACTTTTTATCCTCTTCAAGCATCCTATACCTGCTAAAGTTAACTGGACCTCCTATTTCATGGAGAAAAAAAGTAAATTATTAGACATGGCCATTCCCATCTACCTTCAAGATCTAACTCTATTCAGCCATGCACCCCCTTTTCTAAGGCTAATGTGTTCCTGATCTCATTCCTTCCTGTCTTTTGCAGGCCCATATTCCATCCTGTTTAATCTTTAGTCTTTAGTTTCTCTTCTCACTGGGTTTCTTTTCCTCAATCTTTAAATAGCTTCAGGTCTTTTATATCCTAAAGCAACATTAACAACAAAAAAAGACCAAAACCTTTCCAGAACTCTGCTGCTTCCCTCAAGCTGTCTTTTCTCTCTCCTTCCTATGATTGCCATACCAGTTTACAAAGTAATTATTGTCATTGTCCCCTTCTTCCCTACTTTCAATTCCTAACTTGTGACATCCTGACCTCTATATTAACTCCTCACCACTCCCTCCTTGAAACTCACTCCTCCCTTTGCTTTATGTAATTCCTGCATCTCTTGTTATTCCTCATTCTTCACTGCTCTGAATCCTTTAAATGCTGAGGCTGCTCAGGTTGCATCCCTACTTTTCTGTTCTCATTCTATATGCTCTCTCATTTTCATTTAACAGATTTCACTAGCACAAGCCACCATATATGTGCCATTATTCATATTTTCAGTCCCACATTTCCCCAATGCTGGAGACCTATATTTCTAATTATTTATTAATTATATTCACATAATGTCCCTTAATATCCCTATAACAAAATTTTCTCTACTCCCTACTCCTTATTTCTTATTTCTCAAATCTATTCTACCTTCTTTAGTCTTATTATTACTCTTGTTCAAGTCTTCATCATCACTTTCCTGGGTTATTAGAGTAGCCTCCTGGCTAATCTGCTCACCATCAATCTTGCTCTCTCTCACTTTAGAATGTGTTCTGCTTGCAAGTAACAGTAAACTAGTTAACAGTAGCTTAAACAAATAAGGATCTCTTTAAAGCCAGAAATTAAGCAATACAGGGTTGGAACAGTGGCTTATTGGTGCCATCAAGGACCTAGACTTTCTTACTTTCCACTCTGTTCTCTATTTCTGTGGTCTCCAATCCCCAGGCCATGGACCGGTACTGCTCCATGGCCTGTTGGGACCAAGTCACACAGCAGGAGGTGAGTGGCAGGCGAGCAAGTGAAGCTTCATCTATATTTATACCCACTCCCCATTGCTTGCTTTACCACATAAACTTCCCCTCCTGTCAGATCAGCGGTGCATTAAATTCTCATAGGAGTGCAAACCCTACCATAAACTGTTCATGCAAGGGATCTAGGTTACATGCTCCTTATGAGAATCCAATGTGTGATGGTCTGAGGTGGAGCTGAGGTGGTGATTCTAGCACTGGGGAGCAGGTACAAATACAGATTAACATTAGCAGAGAAGTTTGACTGCACAGTAAATGTAATGTACTTGAATCATCCTGAAACCACCACTTCTAGTCTGTGGAAAACGTGTCTTCCATGAAACTGGTCCCTGGTGCCAAAAGGTTGAGAGCCACTGCTCTATAGCATGCTGGTTTGGACATCATCACAAGATGGCTACTATACCTCTGAGAAGCACATACACATATAAAGTAGGAAGGGGCAGAGAAAATGTGCACAAGATGTTTCTGAATCCCTTTTATCAGAAAAGTAAATACTACCTTATTATTATTATTATTATTATTATTTGAGACAGAGTCTCACTGTCTTGCCTGGGAGAGACAGCATCAGCCTAGCTCACAGCAACCTCAAACTCCTGAGCTCAAGCAATCTTCCTGCCTCAGCCTCCCAGAGCGCTAGGATTACAGGCATGAGCCAATGTGCCTGGCCAGTAAATGCTAACTTAAAATCTCCTCAGAAAACTTATGTGTATATCTCCACAAGAACTTGTCATATTGCCATACACTTAGCTTAGGAGAGGTAAGAAAATCAAGTTTTTCTTTTCCTGGGTTGAGGAAGGCAAGGAGTAAGAGGTTGGGAATGAATGTTGGGTTTAAGCTAACATACAGCGTCTGCTATCCTATTCTTCTAACCCATTTGTCATACTATTATGGCATAGCTGTTTTTCTGACAACTATTATGAATAGTAGTCTTTCCGAAATCTTCAGTGGCTCATCATTGCCTACAGAATCAAATCAAAATTTCTTAGTTTGACATACAAGGCCATTCATATCTGATCCCAGCTTAACAAACTGATTCTATCTTCCCTCTCCTTATCCACCCTACTATCAATGTATGTTATATCATATTTATGACATACCACTTGTTTCTTGAACATGTTTTGTTCTTTATTGCCTTTTTCTCTGCCTATGCTGGTGTCTCCTCTTAGAATGCTCTTCTGTCTCATTTTGCTCCACGTTCTAACTTCCTATCCATCCATCAAATCCAATTCCTGTGTTACCTTTCTCAATTCTCCAAGGTAGAATTTAGATGTTTGCTCTTATAAATTCCCTTGTACTTGGTATTTATAGACAGGATAGCTCACATAATTTTTTTTATAATTAGTATTTTCTCACAGACAAGGCTCCTTGTGGGTATGGCTGGATCATCTTTGTGTAGCTTCCATGCCCATGAAATGCCTAGTACATAATAAGAACTCACATGTTCTGCCTTGCTGGTTGCATCACAGGATACAAAAATAGTTATTAATATAATTTCACCAAAGGGCTTATACTATACTAGGAAAGAGAGAAACATATACAAATACAGTGTTGTATGTGGTATCTGCCCTAATATGAGTACAACCAAAAAGCTATAGATGTTCAGAGATCAAATATAGTTCTGGGACAATGTCAAGGAACCAGTGGTACAGGAGCTAATCAAGGTGCGGAAGCAGTTCACTTGTTAGTTCTTTATAAGTAAGCTCTTCAGAATTTAGCTCTGGTATTTGAAATGAATTTGTTTTTCCTCAGATTTGTTTATATCCAAACACACCCATATTTCATCAACTCTAAGACACATCACATAGCTTTAAGAAAAAAAAATGTTGCCTGTTGATCATTTGAGTTATCCCAATTTCAGATATGTTAAAATGTGAAAAAAATAAGCATCTTAAATTTGGTGAAATATGGTGGGCAAAAAATAAATAGCCCGAAGCCAAGTATAAGTGATTTTTGGATTATCAACACTGCTATTAACCATTAGTATATTAGTTTGGATAATGGAGAATTGACTGGATCTGCAAAATCTGTTTCAAAGTAAAAGATCTACTCAAACAAGAATATAATGATCACTTGCTGTATTGTACAACATTCGAAGTCAAACTGCTGTTAGGTGACATTCAAATGTTGGATGCTAAGTTGGGACAAGTTGTTATGAGGCCTCTTTCATTCTTCCTTTGCCATGTCCATGAGTTCTTCTCTGTTAAACCTGAACAGATGCCAGCCCTCTTCAGAGGAAAGGTCTAAAGCCCCTCGACGAGTGTAGTACTCAATAGAAGCCTCGTTCCAAATGATGACAAGAAAGTGCATGCAGTTACATTGACTTCTGATGGCTATCTGTTTAAAAACAAATAAGCAAAGATTACTTTTATTTGAAAGTATAGACTTCATTAACACATTTATTGAAGATTTACTATGTACAAGGCACTGTATTTGCTCTAATATTTCCAAATAATAATATAGTAGTTACAGTTTGGACTTCTCAATAGCTGTAAAAAGAAAAAAGTCAGAGCTTCCTTCAAGCATGTTCATCTCCCAGTTGGTGTGCATCACACTCATTATGTACACTTGAAGCTCTGACTTGATGGGGGAGGGGGACAAGGGAAATATACGTAACCCTAACATTTGTACCCCCATAATATGCTGGAAAAAATAAATAAAAAATAAATAAAAAGAAAAAAGTCGCACTGTATGAGCTTTAAAATGTCTCTCTTTAAAAACCCAAAACTGATTGGCAAAATCTTTATTCTATAGAAAAATTTGCCTAAAAGAACACATGTTCTTATATATTTCCAAAATACAAAAGGATCTTGCTTTTATACTCTTCTCACATTCATACTGTGGACCTATTTTATGGATAAAATTTGCCTTCTAATCTCCCTCATGCTTACTACTACTTGATAGCAAAAAAGGGATATAGTGTGGTTGTGGATTATATATAAATCAATTTTTAATCAAATATAACTCACATTTATATGAGTATCTGATTTGAAAATCGAGTTTAGTTTGAATAAAAATTTGAAGTATATGTTGGGGTATATTCAAATGATTAGATTAATAATTTATGCCCTGTTAAATCATATTTGATGAAGAAAAGGGTAATATATTGAATAGCAATATTGATTATATTACATACCTGACTTAGCCTCTTCAGCATTTCAGCTCCAATACCTAGACCTTTTAAATAGATAATACAAAATGAAAAGCACAAATTCCACTTAACTAGTTATTTGCTTTAGTTTAAAAGAAATAAGATATAAAACCCTGTATGTGTTTGTTATATATTCTTGATAGCTTGTGGAAACACAACTCATGAATCTTTTTCCTACTTGAAATGTTGTACCAAAGGTAATAGAAAAAGACTTTGGGTTTACTTTAAAGGTCACTGAAGAATAAATGAGTTCCTTCACTATTGTCTTATAACATAGTAACAGGGTGTATTTCTTATCTATTTCTACTCAGAACCAAACTAAAATTTAAAAGCATTTTTTAAAGGTAAAAGTATAGCTATGAATGAATAAGCTATGGCTTATTCAAACCTTGATGGGAACTTATAGGAAGATGTTTTTCTAATCTATGATTGAGTCTTCACTGCATGCAAGAGTAACTAGGATCATAATCAGGCTCATGAAATGGAAATAAGTCACCTAAAGTAACTTAAATACTATATTTATAATAAATCCCTATCTCTACTCCTTTAAAATATGTCATTTTAATTTTTAAAGTATTTATAAGTAATAAGTTTAGTTTTACCTTGGTAAGCTTCTATGACATAAAAGTCCTCTAGGTGAAGTAACTTGCCTATCCAGGGGTCGTATGTAAAGTAGTACATGGCAAATCCAACGGTGACTTTGCCAAAGAAGAGAGAAGAGAGGATACAAAGAAGTTAAGGCTTTGAATCTTAGTTCTTTATCCCCAAATGGAATATCTTTGGTGTTTGTTTTGACTAATAAAGTAATGAATGCTCACTGAACAAAATAATGATACAGAAATGTAGACGGTTTAATTCCCTTATAATACAGCCTTTAAGAGATAAGCCTTCTTTTTACAGTGTGGTATATATGTATATTCTCCCCCCCCCCAAATTTTAATACAAATACAAACCTAAGTTCACATCATAAAATTTTCTTTAAAAAAAAAAAAAACAAAATTGAGTTTATGTACATATACTCTTATCCTCTGTTTACTATCAATTATATGCTATATAACTGTACTTTATTTTCAAGATGGAGAAAATATACTCCAGATTAAATTGGAGAAGAAAGCTTTACTTTACCTGCTGGTTTTCGTTGACTGTATACTTCAGCAATCAGGCAGTAGAAAAGGGGATTGTTCCCAAAGCCATCTCTGAGTAAATCTGAAATATCAATTCATTTACAATATGTGAGAAAATTTACAGCAGTGATAGGGAAGATGGTGGATAGGAAACACCAAGAATTTGTCTCTCCACCTGGACAGCAATTTTACTAGCAGAAACAGTCTGAAGTGAATATTGTCAAATTCTGGAGTTTATCTGAATATTCGCAACTTCAAAGAGACAACTTGGTTGGTAAACTGCAGTTAATTGAGGTCAAATTCATCCATCAGTGCAGGCTCCCTAGCCCTCATCCCTCCTCCAGTCCCATGGGAGGCAACTGTGGGGGTAGCAGTGTGGAGCACTGCTATTTCTGGAGCAAGTGTAGGCAATAAGGATCTTGTCACCAAAATATCAGAATTATGTGTTCTGATGGTGGATTGTTGCTATGATCACCAAGGTGAGGGCTTGGAGATGGCTGCCATTATTCCAACCCCCACCAGCTCAGGTGGCTTCCAGGAGATTTGGAGGAGCTTCCCTGTTTCATTGGACATTTGGTGAAAAACTATACATACAGTAGAATTTAGAAAGCCACCATACATGACCAGAGAAAGACAAGCTTAGAAAAGATCTGAGAACATATCAAGCCTTCAACTCAGACTAATCCCTGATACACAGACACCCTACAATGATAAAAATAAAACCAGCAAATCCTATGTAAGGGGGAGAATCTTATTTTCAGAGTTATCACATTATAAGAATCAATAGTTTTCTACAAAAATTTGCAAAGAAACAAGCTATGGTTCATTCAGAGGAACAATAAATTAACAGAAAACACACCTAAGGAAACCTAGATGTCGGACTTAGTAGACAAAAGTTTAAAACAACTGTCTTAAAGGTGCTCAAAGAGCTAAAGAAAGAAATGACAAATACAGAAAAAAAGATGTATGAACAAAATGAGAATATAAATAAAGAGATAGAAACTATAAAAAGAACTCCCCCCAAATTCTGAAGCTCAAAAGTATAATAACTGAAATGAAAAAATGACCTGGGAGGGTTCAAAAGCATATTTGAGCAAGCAGAAGAATCAGTCAACTTGACAATATGACAAGTGAACTTACTGAGTCTGAAAAATAGAAAAAAAGATGAAGAAAAGTGAACAGAGCCTAATGTGTCTGTTGAACATCATCACCATCAAATAGAGCAACATACATCTTGTGGAACTCCCAGGAAGAGAAGACAGAGGAACAAAGGATATTTGAAAAAATAACAGCTGAAAACCTCCCCAATTTGATGCAAGATATGAATCTACAAATCCAAGCAGTTCAACCAACTCTAGGATAAACCCAAAGAAATCCACACCAATACACATTATAATTAAAGTGTCAAAGGCTGAATGCAAAGAGAGAATCTTAAAGCAGCAAGAGAAAAGCAGGTTGTCACATATAAGGTATCCTCAATTAGATTATCATCTAGAAATCTTGGAGGCCAATAAACAGTGGAGTGATATTTCAGAGTGCTGAAAGGGAAAAAAAATCCCTGTCAACTAAGAATTTTATACATACCAAAACCGTGCTTCAAAAATGGGGGAGAAATTGAGACATTCCCAGATACTCCCCCCCCCAAAAAAAGAAAGAAAGCAAAAAAGAAACAAAAATAAATAAATAAATAAATAACTGAGGAAGTTCATTAAAGACCTGCCCTGCAAGGAATGCAAAAGGAGTCCTTCAATTTGAAATGAAAGGGAGCTAGACAATAACTCAAAGTTGTAGGAATAAATAAAATCTCTTATAAAGGTAAATATATGGGCAATAATAAGGGCTAGTATTGTAATTTGTTTTATACAGTTGAGCCTTGAACAACATGGATTTGAATTGCACAGGTCCACTTATACACAGATTTTTTTCAACAAAATGAACATTGAAAATACAGTATTCACAGGGTAGGAAACCTGCATATATGAAAGACCAACATCTTATATACATGGGCTCAGCAGGGTTGCCTGTGAGACTTGAGTATGCACAGATTTTGGTATATGTGGGGAGGTTGCATGCCCTGGAACTAATCCCCATGTATAATGAGAAACAACTATAACTCAATTTTTGTTTTCTACATTGTTTAAAAGACAAATTCACAAAAACGATTAACATATGTTATTGGCACACAATGTATAAAGATGTAATCTCTGAAATCAATAATGGGGAACAGAGCTATGTAGAAAAGTTGTTATATGCTATTAAACTTAAGTTAGTTTAAATTCCAATTAAATTGTTATAACTGTCAAATGTAACCCCCATGGTAACCACAAAGAAAATATCTATAGAATATATACATAAGGAAATGAGAAGGAAATAAAAATATTCCACTACAAATATCAACAAAACATATACGAAGGTATTAATGGAGGAAATGAGGGTCAAAAAAAGCTGTAAAGCATAGAAAACAAACAAAAATGGCAGAGGTGAATCCCTGCTTATCAGTAATTAAGTGTAAATAAATACTCCAGTCAAAACATTGATATAGGCAGAATGGATTTTTAAAAAGTTACTTAAATATATGCTGTCTACAAGAAACATACCCTAGATCCAAAGACACAAATAGGTTGAAAATGAAATGACAGAAAAATATATTTCTTGCAAAGCATAACCCAAAGAGAGCTGGGATGCCTTTAAGTCAAAAACTGTTACAAGAGAAAAGCATTATGTAATGATAAAAGGGGCAATTCACCAAGAACATATATCATTTATAAACATATGCACTGAACATCAGAGTTCTAAAATATATGAAGCAAACACTGACAGAACTGAAGGGAGAAATGCACAACAATACAATAAAAGAAAGAGAGTCCAATACCCCACTTTTAGTAAGGTGTAGAACAACCAGACTGAAGATAAATAGATGACTTGAACAGCACTATAGACCAATTCAACCTGACAGACATATAGAGAATACTCTACCTAACAACAGAATACACATTTGTCTCAAGTGCACATGGAACTTTGTTCAGGATAGACCATATGTTAGGCCACATATCAAGTCTTAATAAATTTTAAAAGATTGAACTCATACACCGTATCTTTTCCAATCACAATGGAATGAAACTAGAAATCAACAGAATGAAACTAGAAATCAATCAACATCATAAGTATGTGGAAATTAAATAACACACTTGTAAACAACCAGTGGATCAAAGAATAAGTCACAAGGGAAATTAGAAAATACTTTGGGATGAATGAAAATGAAAACACAACAAACAAAATTTTATGGGATGTAGTTAAAGCAGTGTTCAGAGGGAAATTTATAGTTATAAATGCCTACATTTTAAAAAAAGGATCTCAAACAATAATCAAAATTTATGCCTTAAGAAACTAGAAAAAGAATAGCAAACTAAGCCCAAAGCTTATAGAAAGAAGGTAATAAAAATTAGACCAGAGATGAACAACATAGAAAATAGAAAAACATGCAGAAAATTAACAAAAGTTCATTATTTGAGATCAACAAAATTGACAGCTACAATGAGAAAAAAGGAGATATAAATCATTAAAATCAGGACTGAAAGTGGGCACATTACTACCAACCTTACAAGGATAAAAAGGAGTATGAGATTTATACACCAACAAATTAGATAACCTAGAAGAAATGGACAAATTTCTGGAAACAAATTATCCTGAACCTATTCAAGAAGAAATAGAAAATCTCAAGAGACCTGTAATAAGAGTTTTGAATCAGTAATTAAAAATTTCCTAATAAAGAAAAGTAAACCAATAAACCAATAAATCAATAAAGAAAACCACAATGAGATATCACTTAACTCCAGTGAGAATGGCCTTTATCAAAAAGTCTCCAAACAATAAATGCTGGCGTGGATGCAGAGAGAGAGGAACACTCCTACACTGCTGGTGGGACTGCAAACTAGTTCAACCTCTGTGGAAAGCAATATGGAGATACCTTAAAGCGATACAAGTGAATCTACCATTTGATCCAGCAATCCCATTACCGGGCATCTACCCAAAAGTTCCAATGACACTCTACAAAAAAGACACCTGCACTCGAATGTTTATAGCAGCACAATTCATAATTGCAAGGCTGTGGAAACAGCCCAAGTACCCATCAATCCAAGAATGGATTAATAAAATGTGGTGTATGTATACCATGGAGTACTTACTATTCAGCTCTAAGAAACAACGGTGATATAGCACATCTTATATTTTCCTGGTTAGAGCTGGAACCCATACTACTAAGTGAAGTTTCCCAAGAATGGAAAAACAAGCACCACATATACTCACCAGTAAACTGGTATTAACTGAGCAGCACCTAAGTGGACACATAGGTACTACAGTAATAGGGTATTGGGCAGGTGGGAGGGGTGAGGGGGATGGGTATATACATACATAATGAGTGATATATGCACCGTCTGGGGGATGGTCATGCTGGAAACTCAGACTTGTGGGGGTAGGGGGAAAAGGGCATTTATTGAAACCTTAAAATATGTACCCCCATAATATGGCGAAATACAAAAAAAGAAAAGTAAGGAACCAAATGGATTCACTAGTGAATTCTACAAAACATTTCCAGAATTAACACTGATCTTTCTTGAGCTCTTCCAAAAAAAATTAATAATAAAGAAAAGAGAACACTTCCTAACTTATTCTGTGAGGCTAGCATTACTCTGATACCAAAGGCAGTTAAAGACATTAGAAGGAAATTATAGGCCAAAATTCCTTAATAATGTATATGCAAAGCATATCAACACCATATTAGTAAATTAAACCCAACAGTATATTAAAATGATTATTCACCATGACCAAATGTGATTCATCCTAGGAATGTAAGAGTGGGACAACATAAGAACTTTAATGTAAAGCATCATATTAATATAACAAAGGGGGAAACCCCACATCACCTTGATGGATGTCAAAAAGGCATTTGGCAAAAACAACACTATTTTATGACAACAGCTCTCATCAAACTAGGAATAGAGGGAAATTCCTCAATATGATACAGTGTATTCTATGAAAAACTTACATCATACTCAATGGCAAATGAAAGTATTCCTCCTAAAG